CACAGGCCCTGTGCTCAGGAGCACTATGTCTCTAGGAGATGGTTTCTGTTAGTGTCACCAGGGATGCGGACAGTCTACCCCACAGCCTCCTGGTTGGTCCTAGTGATTTGGCTGGTACCTGGTATATTTTTACCTCTGCGCAGCTAGGAGATAAGAAGTCTTAGTTCCAGGTGATGCCAGCAAACACCAGTTGTGGGGGGGGGGGGGTAGGGGCTAACCAGGGAAAGAACACGGTCAGTACTGTTTCAGTGGCCACTGAGGGTGACCAAACCCTGATCCTGCTAGAGCTGCCTGAGAGATGGAAGACCCCACACCACATGGCAGAGTAATCTCATCCTGGGAAGAGAGGATGCTGGGGTGTTTATAGGCTGTCTGTCCTTAGAGGAGGGCTGCTGGGAGGGAGGTGGTTCATTCCCTGGGCTTTGGTACCCCTTTGGAGAGGAAGCCTCCCTAGGCGCCTCCAGAGAAATGTAGCCGTGAGGCTGAGAGTCAGCCAGCTGCCTGGGAGCAGTAAGCTCTGGAATATGGTGTGGGTGGGGTCTCTCTCTGCTGCTGTAGAAGATTCCCTTCTGGCATGCAGCCTCCCAGCCTTGTAACGTCTAGGGTGAGCCAGCCTGTGTCCCAGCTCATGGCTCTCATGTTCCTCCTGGAACCATATGCCAACTGACCAGGTGAGAGCTGCACAGCCTCCTTTGGAACTTGAAGGTAAACTCATACTTTGGAAAGCACGGAGGGCTGAGAGTAGGGACAGGAATGGTTTCCAAATGGCGATGTGGGTAACTTGTCACCAAAAGAAATGCAAACTCTTGCCAGGCAGCTAAAAACAGCCATGTCGGGTCCAGTTGGTTATGGGCTGCATCTAGGACCCTGTGCTGGCCCTCTGCTCCTCTCCCCCTGTTGCTGGAAAACAGGCAGATTAAAACTGACACTTAGAGGAAGGAACCTTTAATTGCCAGCTAGAACTCAGGTGCCTCAAGGTGTAAAATGCTGAGTTTCTGGGAACAGTTCTTTCCAAAATCTTTTACACCTTTTTTTCTTCAGTTCAATATTAGCTACATAGTTATGGCTACAGATGTTAGAAAACAGGGTGGTGTTGTAAGTTAGAGTCTTTTTTGCTGTTCGAGGTTATTTTAGCTCAGTGTAAAGTTTGTTCTTATCTTTGGAGGAGAGGCGTTCTTCAGCAGCTGCCTGCTGCTTTCTCAGGATCACTAGGAAGCATAAGATTTATTTCTCCTTCCTCACCCTCACCAGCACCACTGGAATGAATGCCACATGGATGGGAAAGAGGAAGGGGGAGAATTCACAGCTGCCTTGAGCCGCAGACCCCTAGCAGTGGTGACTTGGGCAGCGCTGCCCTCCCATTCCCCGGGAACTGTGTATAGCAGTGCTGGTTGTCACAGCGACTGGAGGATGCTGTGGGCCACTGTTGGGGAAAGTCAAGAATGCAATGCACAGGACAATCCACACATCAAGAATTATCCTACCCAAAATGCCAACTGCACCCTCCATAACCATACTGCCACTGAGGCTTGGCTGTGGATGCTCTATTGCCTTGGCCTTGCACTAGGGCCCTCTTTATGTCAAGGATCATTGCGATCTCGCTTGAGGAGTAGAAACTATGGGTGCTAAATGCCAGGGTGCCCAGTTTCATCCTGCCACGGGCAGTTCCTTAGCATGTCCACTTCTTCCCTCTGTGGTTAGGTCCTAGAGGCAAGGACTAGGTCTTTTTCCTCTCTCAAATCCTTCCTAGCACATAACAGGCTCTCATGAATGAACAAGCCTATCCTCATAGGGGGGCACTGTGGGATAAGCTGAGATATGTGTTAGGCCATAGTCTTCAGAATGGTTTCGATGTGATATTGGATAGGAGGATTTTAATTATAGCTAAGTTCAAGGTGCTCTTGAGAGGCAAGTTTAGAGCTAAAAAGAAGAATGACTGGGTCCTATTTCTGCACACAGTGCAATAACTAAGGCTGCTGTCAGTGTGAGTTTGGGGACAGTCTAGCTGTGGCTGGGCCTGTGAGTCTAACATCTTAACCAGGCCAGGTTTGAACTCTGCTCTAAACATGGTCTCAAGACCAGAGATTTGTTATTCTTGAGACAGTCAAGTCTGTCTCACTACAGCAATCATCCAAGGGTAGGAGAGGTACTCAGGATGAAGGTACCAGGAGGAAAGGGCAGAACCATGCCCAGGAAATCCCATCCTCTCCAGCTGCCCACCTGGTCTCTCCAGCTCACTGTGCCAGGGACACAGGACCAGCTAAAAAAGTCTTGGTCTCCATCCTTCCCACCCCTACCCGTGGAGGACAACCATACTCCCAGTGGCTATAAAGCCTGGCACCTAGGCCATCCCTGAGTTATAGGTGGAATAACTGAGTAACCAGAATTCACAGAACTGACCTGCCATATGAACTAGTCCTGAGAGTCACGGAACACCAGCCATGCAGCCTCTCCTGCCTAAGCCCCAGGCTTGATGCCATGTTAAGGGTAAGCATTGCAGGAAACCAGGCCCACAGCCACCAACAACACATCAGAAAGAGGTAGGGCAGCTCTTCACCTTCCTGTTATAGGCTCTGGTTTCACCAAGAGACTCGAGAAGACCCTCTGTCCCCCGGCAGCCCCTCCTCTGTTTATGCAGGGACAACACATTATCACACCTCACCAGCCAGTCATGGAAGCTGGGAGCAAGGATCTAAGCTGGCAAAGTGCTCCTGCCAGTGTCCTGAGATGCACTCTTGCCAAAGCCAGGAGGAACCAAGCTGTGAGCTGGCAAAGGACTGGGACGGAGGAGCCTGGAGGTGCCTCCGTGCTGCAAGTGTAGAGCAGCGCTGGCTGCCAAGGAGGAAGTGTCCAAGGAAGAGGGCTGGGCTGGTCCCAGCTGCAAGGCTGAAGCAAGAGAGCCAGGTTCAGACTCCTCCAGGAGAGGCTTGTAAGTTGAGAGTTAAAGAAGTTCTGTCCAAATCTGGGGAGATCAATCTTGGTTAAAGAGTTCATAAAAGGGATGAGCAGAAAAGCCAATGGGCCTTGCGTTAAACTCAGGATGAAGGGTCTGGCTTGACCAGCTCTGCGAAGAATCCAGACCCTTGCAACTGTGCTCTCCTTTAAATCTTTCTCCCCCTCCCTCCACTTGTTCTGCCCTCTTCTGGCCAGCCATTGCCAACAATCTAGAGGGAACTCCCTGGTCCAAGTCCTGGGGAATCTGATTGTACCCAGGACATTGGTGTTGGGATCACAGTCTGCTGCAGGATGGCACCTGGGCTTAGTTGTATTATCTGATGTAATTCTGTGAGTGTGGTAGGAGGTGCCTTCAGCGCACTGAGAAGCCAACTTCAAGGAAGCAGTGTGTAGGCAAGATTCTCAAGCCTACAGTTGTTAAGAGAGACCGGGCACCTTGTGTCACTATACATTTGCCTTCCCAAATTGGCCACCCCAGATGTTCAGTCCTTTCCCGTTGTCTCATCACTTCTCTACAAAATTATTGTTCATTGCTAGGATAATATACAAGCCTGAATTCTAGACACCACTTTGAGTTACTCACCACTGAGAGCCCTCATGTGTGTGTGCATGTGATTTACACATTCACAGACTTCTGCTTTTCCTTTATCAATCTGGCTTTTTTTTGTTGTTGTTGCAGTTTTTGGCCAGGGCTGGGTTTGAACCCGCCATCTCCAGCATATGGCTTTTTCAGCCTAATTGTCAGGGCACAGCCAATGAACCAAAGGTGGGTAGAGGAAAAAGTATTTCTTTTGTTTTTTGGGGTTTTTTTGTAGAGACAGAGTCTCACTTTATCACCCTCAGTAGAGTGCCATGACATCACACAGCTCAAAGCAACCTCCAACTCCTGGGCTTAGGCCAAGGGTCCTCAAACTTTTTAAACAAAGGGCCAGTTCACTGTTCCTCAGACCATTGGAGGGCCGAACTACGGGCCCTGGGACGAGTTGGCTGCTAAGCAGGACAGGCAGCAGGGGCAAAAACAACTGGCGGGCCACATATATGTCCTGGGTGGGGGGGGCCGCATATGGCCCACAGGCCATAGTTTGAGGACACCTGGCTTAGGCAATTCTCCTGCCTCAGCCTCCCAAGTAGCTGGGACCACAGGCACCCAACACAACGCCCAGCTATTTTTTGTTGCAGTTTGACTGGGGCCAGGTTTGAACCCGCCACCCTCAGTATGTGGGGCTGGTGCCCTACCCACTAAACCACAGGCACCGCATGGAAAAAAATATTTCTTTCCTTCTTGCTATGTTCTGAATATCTGTGCCTTCCAAAAATGCATATATTGAAACCTGTTCCTCCATGTAATAGTATTAGAAAGTTGAGTCTTTGGGAGGTAATTAGGTCACACGAGAGCAGAGCTCTTGCAATAGAATTAGCACCCTT